CTCTAAGGAAAGAAATCCATCATAGGGTGAGCCCTGAGGCGAAGCAGTGTGGCACACTGATTCAGTTGTAATTGCTGATTGGCTTTGGCAAATCCTTCTTCGGACTTTTTGTTAATATTAAATGCTTCAACATGTCTGATCACAGTTATGAAAGGCATTTAGTGCCTTCCTCGGAGTACCAGTCTCTTCCTTTTCCATATCTTTTCTGTAGCAACAGGGACTGGAGGGAGATTTCGTTGTCTTGTACCAAGACTTCCCACGCCTTGGTTCAGATACTGCTTTCACGGAGGGGCTAGAGGTGGTGATGTCCATAACTACTCGAGATAAGGCTGTCCTTTGACCAGCTAGGTCAGTGTAGCTTCCACGGCTTTAACTGATGGCTGTGCTGGGAATTGTGAGGGAGAGAGAGCCATTCTTCCCTCCCACCCCAATGGGATCCCAGAGATTTGTTTTACTATAAAAAATTGCAAAAAAAACCCCCTCTTTTAAAATTCCCACATACTTCTCCAAAATGTAAAAAGCACTTACGAAACTCAACTATCACCTGTTAGAAATAATTCCTGGAGTTTCTAGGCAGAATAACGAGAATATATGAGTTTGAGTTCTAAAATGTGGCTATGGCAGCTTGTCATTGTAGGAGAAATTCTCCATTTTATCTGTGGTCAGATGAAATGCAGAGAATGAAACTTTGTGCTTAGGAACTTCTACACTTAGAACATTAGAAGTAGATGTCAATTTAGTGATTGTGTAGTTCAGTTCTCTTATTTTTAAAGAGGAGGAAATGGGTCAAAAGATGTGTGTTAGACCTTTGAGTTACAGAACTAATTAGTGGTAGAGGCACAATCTGAACCTGGGCTTTCATTACACATAACCCAAGCTAACTTCCAGCCTTCCTCCATCCCATTTCCTGTTTGACGAACACTAAGAAACATTAATTCTTACATTGGTTGTGGGCATGATGACTGCTGCAGCTACATGGAGGTTAACCGTAGAGGTTAACAGAAATGAGTAAATTCAGCTGGCTAATCCCAGGCGTGCCAAGTTGCTCCTGGACTAAAACACATACTGGGTTCCTTGAGGCTCATGTCAGGCCTTTGCACCCCTCTAACCATAAACGTTTCTTGTTCTCCTGCTAATTTACCTGTCCTATAGTCTCTTACAGTACATTAATCAGAGGAAGAAGTTTAGAAGACGCTGGGTGGGAGCTCTTGCCTCTGTAACTATTCCCAGTGAGTATTTCTATATTACATCTTGATAGGAAAACTGAGGAACTAGGGTTAAACTAATTGCCTGACTTAGCAAGTAAAAATAAAGACACAAAACTAAATTTGAATTGCAGATAAACAAGTCCCCCCCTCCCCCCCCCCCTTTTTTTTTTACGGAAAAGTATGTGCTGTGCAATATGTGGTACATACTGATATGGAAAAAAAAAAAATCAGCCCAGCCAGTATGGCTCAGTGGTTGAGTGCTGACCTTTCAGGGCACATGCCTGGGTTGCAGGCTCGGTCCCCAGTAGGGGGCGTACAGAAGGCAGCCAATCAATGATTCTCATCATTGATGTTGCTCTCTTCCTCTCTGAAACCAATAAAAATATATTTTAAAAAGTCATTATCTGAAATGCAGCTGGTCATGCTTTATTTAATCTGGTGACCCTCTCCAACATCTGGAACGTCGGTGCCATGCTGTAGAGGGAAGTATATAAAGCACTGAGATACTATTGCTAAGGTAACCACCATAGCTCGGCCTGGAGTGGGAGTTAGATTGGTTTCCTGCTGTGCATTGCCAGGGACCATCACATTAAATGCTGAATTCTGGGCAGAAGGCTGTTTGAATCAAGAGCTATAGGTGGTTCTGCTCATTTACCTCTTAATACTTACACATTTAAAAAGAAAAAAAATCAGTGCTGTCTCTCACATATAAAAATAGTGTTCAAAAACCGGTGGATTTCAAATGTCAAGGGTCATTTACGGCTAAGAGAGAGACTTTAAGAACGACAATATCCTGGAGTTGGGGAGAGAGAATGCTGCTCAGGGCTGAATGGCCGGCTGTGTACAGAGAAAATGTCCCAAATGGACTCAGTTGTCAGCTTATCCCCAGAAGTTTCTTATAACCTACTTATTGAAAGCAGCTAGATTTTTATCATAATTTTTTTAATGAAAATTTGTTCTGGAGGGGTAATTTTAGTCTGGGGGAGAAGAGATGTGCAAACTGTTAGTAATGAGTTCCTTTTCTCTTTCCCAGTTCATTTTATCTACGGGCCTTTTGACCCGGTGCATCCCTATCCGGAGTTTTTGGAGCTGTACAGGTGAGCCTCCCTCAGGGGCTTCGTATTGTTAGTTCCTCCTCCTGACAGTGCTCTGGCCTCAGTGGCTGTGCATCCAGGAAACGTATGATAAAGGATGAGCTGAGGAATCTTATTCTCACATAAATGTAAAGTCAGGAAATGGTTAATCATTCTCTTGAGTTATGCATATATATATATGTATGTATAGTTGTTACACATTCTCTTGAGTTACACACCTGTTTTTACTGTATATACATATGCTACATATTCCTAGGTGGACAGGTAAGAAAACGCTATCATGTGAACTAAGGAATGGAAGTGCATAAAGTTGATAAAAAATGTTTGCTGTAGTCTCATTGCAAAGCTTCAGCTGGGCATCTGCAGGGAGAGATGGAGAGGAGCTCACAGGAGAAGCGCCTCGTCACTGGTTGTCATTTTCTCTAGGTTAGTGATGGCGAACCTTTTGAGCTTGGCGTGTCAGCATTTTGAAAAACCCTAACTTAACTCTGATGCCGTGTCATATATAGAAATTTTTTGGTATTTGCAACTATAGTAAAACAAAGACTTATATTTTTGATATTTATTTTATATATTTAAATGCCATTTAACAAAGAAAACTCAACCAAAAAAATGAGTTCGCGTGTCACCTCTGACATGCGTGTCGTAGGTTCGCCATCACTGCTCTAGGTACTTACTCAGAAGGTTGGAATATGAAATCTTGACTGATTTTGTTCCATAAGAATGTTCCATCCTTCATATGGCCTAGTAGAAATGATCCAGTAGTAAATAGCTTGCATTTAATTTTCAACAAAATACCCTCTCTCATCTCCTCTCACGGTTAAGGAAGGTCTTTTGTTATCCTTACCTGGACAGTGGTCCACTTATTTGATGCCTTACGCTTCTCTAAGGAGCTCGAAGTCACCCTGCTTTGACATGTATTGCAAAAGTGTTTTATTTTTAAGTTGTCTGTTGGATTATGAACATGTAAAACCTAGTCTGTATATGTCATAAATGGAATTGGCAAGCTTACCTGCCTAAAACACAATTCCAAAATAGAAGCTGAATAAGCTCTTTGTTGGTTCCTTCCAGTGTGGTATGTCCGCAGGGACATTTACTAGGGCTGCCCACTGGCTTACCTCCCTCCCCCTCCCTCCAGCCTCAAGTTCACCTACATGCTGTTCTCTTCCACTAGGAAAACGCTGCCGCGGTCCACAGTGTCGATTCTGGATGACCACATTAGCCACTACCCACAGCTAGAGGATCCCATGGGCTTCTTGAATGCATATATGGGCTTCATCAACTCCTTCTGAGCTGGAAAGAGTAGCTTCCCTGTATTACTCCCCCTACTCCCTTATCTGTTGTGTATTCCATTTAGAAAGCAATGCCCCAAAGAGGTCCTGGCCACCAAACACTTCTCTCACAAAGGTCCACCTGACTCACATTGGTGAACAGCATATAGGACAAAGCCAGTAGAGGCTCTGACTAAGGGTGACCTGATAGTCCACCTCCCATTCCTTTGACATCTGATCAAGTGTATGGACTTGCCTTTGTGTTATTAGGAAAGTCTGATGAGCACTGCTACTCACGGATGCAGATACACACATTCTTTTGCATAAGACTTTTCTGAAATACTTAGAAGTGTGATTTTTGGCTCAGCCCCAACTGGAATCTTGTAGTAAAGAATGAGGAGAGGATGGCTGCTTCCCTCTCCTTGAGTGGCTTTAAGGGCACGTGCTTTTTTTGTTTTCTAAGCAGCTTCAGGAGAGAGGAAGTCTCCCCGTCATAACTTTGGCTTAGTTTCGTCAGCTGCATCTAATTATAGACTTTTTGTTAAAATAGGTTTTGCTTTAAATAATGCAGCTTTACATAATGCAGTATTCTAAGTGTACTTTAAGACTATGATTTACTGACACGTGTTATATCTATTTTAGGGTACTACACCAGCAGACACTCACTCTGGCAGAGTAGTGAACCTTATTAAACATATTTGACTTCTGTATAAATTGAACTAAATCCAAACTTAAAAAAATTTCCTAAAAGTCATAGGACATCAAAGACCAACCGCATCTGTGCCAGAGATTTACTGTTATTGGCTGGAAAGACCCAGTTCTAACAGCGAATAACAGTCTGCTTCTTCATACCTCATTGCTTCGAAGCACATCCCTCCTGAGCTAACGGGGAGGGGAGGGGAGCGTTGTGCAGTCCCAGTGCCCACGCTGAGTGCACACGGATTCCTTTTGTTACGAGTGCTTACTTCTCGCTGGTTGTGCCAGAGAAGCTTCCTCATGTAGCTCTGCCATTCCTGTACTTGACAGGCAGGAAAGTTCCAGAAACTTTAAGAACAAATTCTGAAAGGCCTGTGAGCAAAAGGTGCTGAATACTTTTTTTAAAATCACAGTTTCATTGTTTTAGTCAAAGTAGGATTAGGTGATTATTTTAAATTCTTTTTTTAAAAATTAGCAACCTCAAGTATAACAATTGAAAGTGGAATAAGTGTTTATTTTCTATTAATAAAATGAATTTTGACAAAAGTGGACTCTGCCTTCCCCTCCCCACCACCCCTCCGGGATAAAGTTTTCCAACATTGCCAGGAGCTTTCAGACACATTACATTAAAGAATATAATGGGGGTACAGGATAGTATTTGCTTTACATGTTCACCCAAAGCTGTACTATCACACCAAAGTCGACCAATGGAACAAAAAGGAAAAAAGACAAAAAAAAAAAAAGACATGCACAAAGACAGACGTTTGCTTGATCTGCTGGCTCAGGGCCAAACATTTAATTTGCTTCTCCAGAATCATTAATCTTTAAAAGCGGGATTCTGGGAAAATCATGCCACTAGCCTAAAAGCCCACTGACAGCGAAGTACATCAGCTTCATCTTGCCCAGTAAAAACTTATCCAACAGAAGCCAAGATAACGTCCACAGGTGTTTCCTCTTTGCTTCTGACAGTCACCTGCATGGTCACTCCATCCGCTAAGGCCAGCTTGGCCCTCACCAATAAATCATAGCCACCTCTGTATACACCTGAGAGAACAAAGTGAGGAAAACCATATTGAGAACTCAAAACAAACTCTGACTAGTGAAATTTATCATGCTCTGCTTGCATTTCCTTTCTATTATTTTAGTTTAGCTTTTCTAGAGATCTGTGTTTATGGTAGGAGCTGCTTCCTACATACAAATTTGAAATAACCTTTTATATTCCCATGATACCAGGTACATAGAAGGTATTCAAGAATACTGGGTTGGAGTACTCAAATGGGGGAGGTAGTGGCACTAGTATATACGGGAGAGATTTAAGTGAGTGTTTTAGGCCAAATATACATCTTTAAAGAACAAACGAAGCACAGCATGAAAATTAAACAGCTAAGACAAACTGCTCACTGTGACAGGGCTCCACATGGTAACGCATACAGTGGGACAGTGGCAGGGCATGAAATGCCCATGCACAGCCCTTCCTATTAAACTCTGCAACAAAATAAAGGGGAAATCCGATAAAATTCCTTACCTGCCAGGTAGAGGGAATGGGAATTCTTGTTCTCGGGGACTTTCTCTGACCTTTCACATGGCTGCATGCCCAGAAACGTAATGATGTTGTTGACAGCTTCTGTGTTGACAAGATTGATGCAACAGTATCAGGAAAGGTCAGCATGGGGCTGCCTCTGCACCACTACGCACTGGGCGCTGGGGCGAGAGGGTGGTGTGTGGGTGGAGGCCACTGGACTAGGAACTGGCTGACTCAATTAGGTGACAGGGTCCTGGCTTTCAGGTGACTTAGTTTATGCAGCATTAAACCAAAGTGTTCTTCTGGAATGATACATATTCCTGTTGGGTTTTACACTGCTGTCAGGCAATACATTGATAGCAAAATTGTTCTCACCTTGAAGAGTTTTGGTAGAGCTGAGGGCAAAGGTCTCCTGTTTCTCAAAAGTATCTCCTACTTCTTCCCAGGCAGCAGCAAAGTTGGGCTTCAGAACTTTCTGAATGTGGTCAGACACAGTCACCTCAAGATCTTCCAGCTAGTGGGCACATGCAGGGGTCAGTAAGCAACAGTCCTTTCAGTACAGGACAAAGTGGGAGGGGCTAAGGGAAAGGGTTTTATCATTCTGAGATACATCCTTTGCAGGAGCCTAGGAAAAACCATCACCAACTAGTTCAGTCCTGTAGTCTGGATAAGTCTAACGATGTAGGCCTTAGCAAAGAAAAGCAAGAAAATATGGCTAAAGCTATATTCAGATCAACATCTACACCCTTGAGGTACAAAGCAGTCATGTGGCCACACCTAACCATCAAGTTCAAGCCACCCAGGGCCTTCAGAACTTAGCATTCACTAACAGGTTGATATTTCTTCACATTTTGCCTGCATTCTATGAAGTTATTCAGTCCATGATGTAGCTAAATTATAAGCAAATTAAAAGCTGCTCAACAAAACAACCCCAACACTTTAAATAAAGCTCATGGATCTCAAAGAAAATCACATACTTATTTTCATCTTGCAATTACCCCTAATATAAAGACATAGAAAAGGGTGAGTTGTTTTAATCAGGAAGTGGTCAGCCTCGCTTCCCTTAGGCACGACACACTCCCACCGAGAGGAGGGTTAGTCCTGGCCTACACAGTTGTAATGTGAGAAAAGAAAACCCCTTAGGTTCATGTCAGATGTTCCTAGAAAAATGTTCTCTTCAGGCAGAAGTCAGTGTGCAAGGGTGTCCAGGTGTCTCTGGGCAGGGGACACTCACCACGTACTCGTCGTCATACCCCTCCTCAGCTGGAACCCCAGTGTCAGGGTCACAGTCGCGGACAGTAAACTTCATGGTGCAGCTAAACGTGCTGGCAACTGGAGGAGAAAGAGCAGGCGGGCCAGTGTCAGTGGGCAGCGCAAGCACAAAGCTCCCCTCGTAGCGGAGGGAGCACGTCTGCACTTGGCACTGAGTTCTGTATCATCCAGGGAAGCACACACCACTGTTTCCAGGGTAGAAGTTCTCGAAAGCAGCCTGTGTGCTGGTTAAAAGGCAGCCTCACAAAGTATAATTTTAAAATCCATTCCCCGCTGTGGGTTAGAATAGTACAAAAATGACGACATTGGCAAAACTCCACTTCTGTATTGGTATAAAGAAAGCAGCAGGGGAGCTACTTTGGGAGGTTTCTGCCATGCCTGTCAAAGGGGACTACATGTGGAAAATGTAAGAACCACGACTTTAGCAGTTGACAAAGCAAAAAAATATGGATAGTAAAAAGCACACTGATCATTAACACAAAGCACAATAGTCTAAATATCAACAGATAATACTATTTTTAGATTGTGGGTCCACAGATCACCAGAATGAACTTGCTTTATTGTCAACTTTCAACCTGCAGTGAATAGGTCAGCAAGGAGGTGCTAGTATTGGTAAAGTCAGTGTCTTAAATGCAAAAGCAAGTGGGTAATTAATTATGTTTTGAGATAACTGGTGGAAGTAATAAGAAATGGAGGTAGGGGCACATTTTTGGAAAGTGAACTTCATGAAAATTGGCCTTTCTGAACTGCCTGAAGGAGGGGATTAAGTATGGGTGAATTAATTGGATCTCAAGAGATGTGAAAGAGCTTCAGTGAGCAGAGCAAGGTACATGAGCTAAAGGAAAGAGGCCAGAAAGGCCAAGGGTACCTGGAAATAGTAAGAGATATGCTAATGAACAGGTGCTGAGAAGAGAGACTGTTTAGGGATATATTTGAAATACCTAGGAGACTAGATATTTTCCAATAGGCTCTGGTGAGCTGAGGCAGTCCTATGAAGAATAGGTCTGAATTCAGAGAACAAACGAATTTAGTAGAATACATTGAAAATGATGGTAGTGAGTTGACCCATATAGAAAGAGTTTACCTTTCAAGACTACAGAATCAATTTTTTGTTGTTGTTAATCCTCACCCGAGGATATTTTTCCCCAGTGATTTTTAGGGAGAGTGGAAGAGACAGGGCAAGACAGAAAGAAACACCAATGTGAGAGAAACACATTCATTGGTTGCCTCTTGCACGAACCCTGACCAGAACTCAGGCCAGGGAGGAGCCTGCAACCAAGGTACATGCCCTTGACCTGAGTCGAACCCAGGACCCTTCGGTCTACAGGTTGACACTCTTATCCACTGAGCCAAACCGGCTAGGGCTACAGAATCTATTTTAATACAATAGGAGATTGATGGAAGAATGATCGTGGTTATATTAAGCTAGAATTTACTGCCAAGGAAGCAGGAAGAAGAAAGAAAAAGGTGGAAGTTAACACAAACCTGGACTGGGTCAGTTGAGGTATTTAAAACAATGAAAGGAGAGAGAGGGGATTATGGTAGGGACAGAGGTAAAGATCCAATAAGAATGGAGAGGCAGGCCCAACCTGTTGTGGCTCAGTGGTTGAGCACCGACCTATGAACCAGGAGGTCACAGTTCGATTCTTACCCTGATCAATGATTCTCTCTCATCAGTGTTATTTCTATCTCTCCCTCTCTCTCTGAAATCAATAAAAATATGTTAAAAAAAGAATGGAGAAGCAGGATAGACATTAGTAATACAAGATCATATGAACCCCTGTTTGGTTTCAATTAAGCAGGGAGGATACAGACAAATGACGAAGAGGAATAAGGAAATAAGCAGGAACAACGGTAGATCACAGCTTTGGCAAACTGGTTGAATTTTATGTGCAAGTAAAGACAGAAGATGCTATGTGTAAGTAAGTGATAAGGAGGCACTGAATAAGGAAGCAAATAGGAATGCTATCAGTAGAGACGTTCCTGAAACTTGAGTGGCAAATTTTTAATGAAATGATTTTGTTGATACAATGAGGTCACAAGGAATCTAAGGTGAAATCCAGTAAAAACCATTGGTAGCAATCTGTCAATATTGCTAGAAAGGATGACTGACACTGGGTGATGAGGAGAAGGGGGTGGGAAGGGACCTTTCCGTGGCAAGAGAACAACTCAAACCCTTTGCCACACAAACAAAGCCAGGCAGATGATGGGAGTAAGAGAAGGATGCCCTGAAGATCTACATTAAAACTGTCCTCAGAGATGAGGCTTTTCTTGTGAGAACTGGCTGAAATGAGAGGACTACTGAGGAGACTGGTATGGAAAGAGCACTGCAGTGCAGAAGAGATGGGTGCTGGAAGCTAAGTAAGGGGAGAGGTGTGTGAACTAGGCTGGGGTACAGAACCCGCGATGTGGCAAATGGCGGGAGTTGCCAGGTCTCAACCACTGGAGGGAAGACTATTTCTAAATAAGAAAAGGAGGTTCCAGAAAGCTTTGTTGGAATAATAATTAAAGAACAGGATGTGGTCCATGGGGCAGAAATCAGAAAGCGTGTAAAAGGGATAGATCTGCACCAGTCCATGCAGGTCGGGGCTGAACTAGGAAGGACATGCATGTATCTAGCGTGTAGGGAATCAAGGGAGATGAAAGCGATGGAGCAATTTGTGCCAAAAGTGAGGAGTCTAGCTATACCTACCAGGAAGGAGTGCTGAGTCCAGGGGATGCTACATACATGGCAGGAGGGATGCTGAAGATAAGGTGTTTCTCTAGCACAAATATAGGGGACAAGGAGAGGGGTAGGAGAGCAACATTAAAGTTGCCCTCAGACGAAACATGGTCACTAAGGAATGACAGACATCAACTGGAAGAAGACAGCATTCCTGGGCCACAAGTCATGCGGCAGTAAGAAAGAAAAGAGATGAAGCAAAGAAAAGGGAATACTATATGGTGGAGGGCCCACAAGGCAGGTGTGGAGTAGAGATCTAGAATGGGGAACCCTGTCAGAGTCAAAACAGGTCTAACCGGTCACCTTTTGGGTGTAAAGATCATATTGTAATGAGAAATATAAAGAAAGAGTAAGGATAGGATCAAGAACATGAGTAGGAGGCAGTCATAGACTAGCTCTTGAACCACCAATCTGGAAGGAAATTGTTAATTAAAGGACTTGGGTGACAGGAAAGTTTATAAGGAAGCTGACTAAGATGAATGCTGATAGAGTGGTTGCTGGAAGCTTTAGAGCAGTGGTTCTCAACCTTCCTAATGCCGCGACACTTTAATACAGTTCCTCATGTTGTGGTGACCCCCAACCATAAAATTATTTTCGTTGCTACTTCATAACTGTAATTTTGCTACTGTTATGAATCGTAATATAAATATCTGATATACAGGATGTATTTTCATTGTTACAAATTGAACATAATTAAAGCATAGTGATTAATCACAAAAACAATATGTAATTATATATGTGTTTTCCGATGGTCTTAGGCGACCCGTGAAAGGGTCGTTTGATCCCCAAAGGGGTTGCGACCCACAGGTTGAGAACCGCTGCTTTAGAGAGAGGAGGCTTGACTTGCTTAGAGGGTGTGGGTGACAGTATGTCCAAGTAGATGACAGTATTAGGTGGGGGGTGGGTGAGGACTCTGAGGGAGGGACAGCTGAAGTACTGTGCATCCATTCCTACTGTAGAGAGCTGGTAAGTGAAGGGATGACGGGTAGTTAAGTTATCCTAGTTTACTGCATAGTATGTCATTAAAGCTGGTTGCTCTTAGAAGTTGTCCTGCCATGTGAGGATTGGCTAAAAGTCAAAGACATTTCCTAGAGAGACTTGTATGAAAATATCATGGAGAGAGAAGATGACGGAGGCTAGAATCTAAGAATGGAGAGAAGACAGAGGATTTAAGCTGGGGTGCAGAATATCAGGTGTGAGTAGGGAAGGGCGTAACAGAGGGCCAGAATGAGGAACACTGGAAAATGGTAGAGTTGGCTGTTAGAGAGATGTGAGCTAAGCTAGATTAAAACCAAAGGGGAGAGAATGTGAAAAGGAAGTGACTGAAGAACTAGTGTTTGAAGGAGTTCATGTGGGAATCTTATTTCAAATAATAAGTGTGACCAATACAGCGAAAGGCTGAACGGTCTAAATGGGATGGGTTTCAGTGATGGCCAGTGGCAGGAATCCTGGATTGAACTGGGAGAGCAAATGTATTTCATGTGGAGGAAACATGGAAGGGAAGACTACTGAATCCACAAGAAATGACAAAGAGGGTAGCTGAGAAAATAAGCAGCTGTGTAGGTAACAGGTGCTTCTGTAGGGTCACTCAAGGAGAAGAGTAGAAGAGCCTGAGGAGAGACGGCTTATTTTGAAGACTGGCAGTGTTGGCAGGAAGGGTAAGGCACCATACTTACACCAAAGATCATGATGAAACGAGAGACCGGGAGCTATGCAAAGTGAGTACTACATGAACAGTGTTGAGAGTAGGTGGAATGGCATGGGCAGATAAGATGAGGTATAGTTTCCCAGAATGGGCAATCGTGTAAGATCTTATGATGAGTCTATCTGGTCAAATGTTGGGTCTTAATGCCACACTTGGAAAAGCAATATATATATACAATGGGAAAAAATTGAAGCCTGAAAAGTAAAAGGAAGTTTTAATTAGGAGGATTAGAAGGAGATGGATTAAAATGAACCGTGATATAAAGCTAGGGTAGTAACTTTAAAGACACCAGGATAACTGAGTGATGTGTCTGTAGCACTGATGAACCAACTGAAGCCCCCTTTTAGTTAGCTGCCTCCTTTCTGTTAGAACTTCATCTCTTGTTCAGATGACAGATGAAATTATACTATATGTAATTAAGATGTTGGAGGGCAAACCACCAAAGGGCGATACAATGTTCATCATGCAAAGACCACATTAAAAGTATCCTTAGAACTTACTCTGTCCTGTGAAGATTTTCTGAAGTGAGAGACAGTCACTGGGCAGAGAACCTGGCTAAGGAGTGCTGTCCAGGAGGAGACTGAGTCACTGGAATGAAATGCACATGGCAGCTAACAGAAAGGAGGCTTCAGA